TTAACTTTTTAAAGTGCTGCTGGGAGCCGTTGGTCTTCCCTTTTAATTTTAAGTTCTTCCAATATGACAAGACGACTCTTTTTCAGAAGGCTGTGTGGTCCCACCCCAGCCCTGGCCCCAGTACACTCTGCTTGGATTCTAAGTCGGGGAGGAGGGGGCTCCCCTAGATTGGATCACAGCTTTAATTCACATTGCTTACAAAACGGATACCCCCACGAGCTGACAGAAGCTGCTGTGTGTGTGCGTGTGTGTGTCTGTGCGCGTGTGTGTATGCATGTGTGTCTGTGAACGTACACAATTTAAACAGACAGTGGCAGGCTGTATTTGAAGTTTATAATTGGCTGTTCATTAAGGAGAAGATGGGAACAGACACTCACTGGGGTCCGGGGGAAGCTGACTTTGACGTTGCCGGGAGCAGGGCTGAGTCTGTGAGGTGTGACCAGAGACAGGGTTTACCAGGAGAAGCTTTCTGGAGAATGTTGAAATGAGTGATGACATTGGCTTTGAAACCCGTGATCATTCTCTTTGCCTTATGGCAAGTTCTTTCAACATTTTCAAAACAACCTTTTGAGGAGGAGGCTGGGGAGGGCACTAGCAGCATGGGCATGCGTGCAATCCCTGCCCATCCCTGGGGGACGGGTTCCCACTTGGGACCGCTGCTCCTCCTCCCGGCGCCTGTCCACGTCTGCGGTGTTGGTTCCTTTTCTATGGTGTCCACGCATTTCCTTTGCGTTCTGGTTATGCATGGGCAGAGCCCTGCAGCTTAGGGGCTTTCCATCAATCTCTTTCTCTTTTTTTTTTTTTTTTGGCTGGTGAGCCTTGGCAGCTCTCTGTGGGGTCATTGGTGCTCTCCAAGAAGGTAGTTCCTGAATCAGTGACACTTCTCGTCTTTGCTGACAAGGGTCTGAGGTTTTCCTTCGGTGAATCAGTGCGGTCTCATCTGGAACATTTTAGGGAAGTGGAATTTGAATTTGTCCTGTGGCTTTATTTTATTGAAAAAGAACTTGGGACATTTGCTGCCAAAATGGTTATTACCAAACCATATCTGATCACGAGAGCGGTGGAGCAGTTTATTAGGAAAGGAGAAAACTCATCTCGTTTCTTTCCAGGGTTATCCTGGCTTTCGAGGCCTTGCTGCCAGGGCGCCCAGCTGGGCTCTGGGCTCTTTTTCTCCCCAGATAGGGTGTCCTAGGTCCATTCGGGAAGTCATTTGGAGGGTTCCTCCAGATTTTTGAATGGCCTTGTATTTTCAGACCCTCACGGCAGGCTTAGGAGAGGATTTAGCTCTTTTGTTGCAAGCTAGAGAGGAGCCCAGCCTCCACAGGGAGGTGACACGGTGTGGGAACTGCCCATTCAGGAACTGGACCCACTTCAGGGTCAGAAGAAGACAACTGAGGTCCCATCTGCAAAGTCCTGGGCCTTGCTGAGGCAGGAGAGCATGTTGCAGGTCTGACCCTTCATATGGTGCCTGTGGGGAATGGACTACCCTCCCCCCACCACCCCAAGAATAGCCTGAGCCTGGGGCGCATCTGAGTGGTGGGAGTGGCCGGCGGCCCGTCTCTGTCTCTGCGGAAAGACACTTTTGCTTCTGTTCCCTGGGAAGCCAGCGCCAATTCTGGCATTTTGGGGTGGCCCTGGTGAGTGCTCAGGAGAGGTCTGGGTCCAGAGGCAGCCCCACTCCTCGAGTTGAGTAAGACTCGTCCCATCTCTGGCTTGTGACATGAGGAGAGGAATCCGTCACCCGCCTGCCACCTGCCTGCCACAGCTCAGGGTGATGATGCGGCACCAGTGGAGTGAGCAGACCCTGGGGACTGGGGGGCTGTGGCCTGCGTGGGCCTTCCCACCACCAGCCTTCACAGCGGGCCCTCTGAGGGTCTTTGGGCACAGGGGCTCTATTGCTTAGCCCTGGCTCCCCGTCTGCCCCTGAGGTATGACTTTGGGCAACTCACTTAGCATCCAAGCCTCAGTTTCCTCATCTCTAAGGTGGGTTGACAGCAGAGCCTGCCTGGTGGGTGCCGTGGGCCATGGGGTGCCCAGAATGCAGCCTCCGTGCCTCTGTTTCTGTCCTGCCTCTGCTCACTCTCAGCCTTCATTCGGAGTGGGTCTGCGCACCGCACAAAGCCCTTCCACACACCTGACCTTAGTTGCTCTCTGCTCAAGTGTCAGAGGCTCTCCTGCATTTCCTGCTTGAACAGTGTCCTGGCCTCCATCTGTAGCTTTCAGTGTTTGCCATGGACTGCGGGTGAGTTCTTGTGTATGTCCGCATCTTTCTGTCTGAAGTGGAGGCTCCATGAGGACAGGAACCTTGTGGGTTCACCTCCTCCTTGGTGTCCAGCTGACTGACTGGCAAACAGCAGGTGCTTTTGGTGTCTGGTGAGTAAATGGGGGTGGGGAGCTGGTCGTCTGACCCTGGTGAGGTGGGACGAGCTTGTCTTCCTCACGCCCATCTTACAGATGAGGAAACCCGGAGAGATGAGGGGTCCTGCCCAAGGAAGCGGTGTCCATAGTCAGGTCCGCCTTCTGCTCACCCAGAATAAAGACCTGGGGACCCCGGAGGGTCATGGCCAAGTGGAATGGACTCCTGGCATTTGAGGGCTTCCTGCCTGCAGCCCCCAGGCAGCCATGGCTGTCCAAGTCCAGCGGGCCTTTGCTCAGGTCATGACTGGGATGTCTGGCCTCTCCTGGCAGGAGGCTGCTGGGCTCCCGTCTATCTGGGGAGGCCCAGTGCAGGAGTACGGGGGTATGGGGGTGGGGGCTTCTTCCTTTCTCTTTTTCCTTTCCTCTACCTTTCTCCTCTCCCCAGAGGAAATGGTGGCAGGATTTCTTTCAAGAGGATGCCTCTGTATTTTACCAGTGGGTGGAAGGTGGCATTATTAGCTCCCATGAGCCGCACGTGGACCCCTGTGTGAAGCGTAGTGGGGCATGGAGCAGGCGAGATGCTTTCGTCTCATGGCGGGAGGGCTGGCGACACCGCATGAGGTGACAGGCAGGCCCTCGGAAGCCTGCGCTTAGATCCTTAATTAGTTCACACATCGACTGAATTTTTCAAATGAATAAATTTTAATTACATCTCAGGTAAAAAAAAAAAAAAAAGTGCCAGTGATGGAGAGCTCAGGTGAGGAGCTTTACTGAGCTCTGTTGCTTGTGAAATTTCCTAGCCCGACACACACGAACGCCGCCAAAGTCTCATCTGGATTCAAGGTGCCACGAATCCGGACAAGCCTGGATACACATGTGCCACGAATCTTATTTAGAGGGAGCCCTGAATGTTTGCAAAGGGTCTGACTACAAGAAAAAGTAATGCAGCATCCCATGCAGATGGCTGGCTCCGAGGAGGAGTTCATGGGGCCTTGGGGACGCTTTTGCCCCTAGTTCTAAGAAGCTGGGCCACTCCTGAAGTAATGGCAGTAGCTAGTCTTTATCATAGAATAACACGTGATAAGATATAGAGAGAAGTAAAATCAAAGTATAAATAAAAGGAAAATCATAAAACATAGCTGGGCACTTCTGAAGCTGTGTGTGCACTGACTCATTCAACCTGACGCACAGCCTACAGCCTAGGTGCTGGCACCCCCACTTTTGCTCGAGGAAACCAGCTCAGGCTCAGGAATTCACCTGGCATCTCCCGGCGGGGGGTGGTGGCAGGAGCCACGTCTTCCTGAAAACTTTCTTGCTTGGGGCGCCCGCTGGGAATTAGGAATGATCTGTGTCTGCATTTTTATCCTGACCAGGCAGTCCCTGACCCCTGAGAGACACTCTTTCTTTATTCCCATCTGGAATCTGCACTGCTGGGGTCAGTGGGTCATCTGGAGGGCTGCCTTGAGGCCAGCTTGGATGTGACGTCGGGCGGGGCCCAGGGGGGCCCAGTGGAGTGTGCAGGGTTAGAAAAGTGAACACACTTATGGTGACCTCTGGGCATCTTGGAAAGAGCCTTGCTTTCTCAACAGCCATGCTAGGGGCAGCGTGGAGGGCTTTGGAGAGTGTGAGAGTTGGGTTTCAGCACCAGGCCTTGAAGTTGACTTTCAGAACAGGTTTTATTCGCCAAACCCAGAGAGGACAGTTGTCAGCTGCTGTACTTCGGGGCATGTTTGCAGACCTGCGGGGGCGAGGGTCACCTTGGAGCTGAGACTCATTCACTCTCAGAACTCCAGGCGGAGGCGGGGCCTTTTGGGCCTGGGTATCCCCAGGGCCACTCGTTTTCCCCGCTTGGGTTTTAAATGGCATTTCTTGTTTTTTCTACCCTTCCCTTGCAGTATACACTCAATGGCAAGAAAGTGGAGGTGGCTGTCAAACAGATGATCGCAGGAAAAGCTGTGGAGCAACGAAGTGCTTTCTCGAACCCCGAGGCCCTGGATCTGTACCGGGACATCCCTGAGCTGCAGGACTTCTGAGTCGGACTGGCTAGCATGTCGCTCAGCCTCCCCCGTGTGTACTGTAACTTTCGTATGCCCAAGAAATGACACGGAAACCTACAGCTGTTGTAAAAGATGTTCGCACCAGGCGTTCTGCAGGCTTGGGGAGGGATCGTTTCTCGTTTTGTCGTTAAATCTGATGGGTTCCTGGATCTTCCACACAGTGGAAGCGGGATCCTGGCCTTCAGAGACCAGGAGGGCGTGTCTGGGCCACGTGTGTGGCACTGTGGTGAGAGTGAGTATCTTTGCACACACAGGCCAGCGGGATCAGTGTGGCTGGCTGGTGCTGAGGACAGACACTCCTGAGCATTTACACCCTGTCTTCAGTCGCCTCCTCCCTTCGTCCCACTCGGCTCTGTGAAGGTGCAAATCCCTTTCTTCCCTTCCCAGCTCAGGCTCTCCTGTTTTCCCTCAGGGCCCATTATGCCTTTGAGCTTTAGCTGTTACAAGAGAAACCCCGTGACTTGATACAGCTTTTCACAGCTGGCTGTTAGGACCGGCAGGCTGGCTGCTCACGTGCTGTCTGTGTCGTGGATGGAATGTGGTCCCTGGAGGACCGAATGTCCCCTTTCAACCAGAGCACGCCTCGGGGCCAGCTTCCCTCCAAGGAACGACTGGATTTCTTACAGGATCTCTTTACTGCACAGACTTGCATGGCTTTACATGTTTCTACTGTTAATTAGGCATGCGAAGCAGCAGGTGTCCACTCGTGTCCCTCATGGGTGAGCCCTCCAGCTGTGCGCCCAGGCCACACAGCCACCGAGAGTCCTCCTCAGGAGGAACCGCATCACTGCTGCCTCCACCTGCCAGTCTAGGGGGTTCCTGTCGGGATCATGTCATCAGGACTCCTAAGTCAAGTCACGGGTTTCCATAGCCAGGCGGTTGGGATGTACCATTCAGTTCAATATATGAACATGTATCTGTAATCTGATGTTCACTTTAGGATTTTTTTTTTTTTTTTTTTTTTTTGAGACGGAGTTTCCCTCTTGTTACCCAGGCTGGAGTGCAATGGCGTGATCTCGGCTCACTGCAACCTCCGCCTCCTGGGTTCAGGCAATTCTCCTGCCTCAGCCTCCTGAGTAGCTGGGATTACAGGCACGCGCCACCGTGCCCAGCTATGTTTTGTATTTTTAGTACAGACGGGGTTTCACCATGTTGACCAGGATGTTCTCGATCTCTTGACCTCGTGATCCACCCGCCTCGGCCTCCCAAAGTGCTGGGATTACAGGCTTGAGCCACCGCGCCCAGCATACTTTAGGATTTTTTTGAAACTGAGCACAATGAAATCCTTTCTGGAATCCTTCTGGATTATACAAAATATAGAGGAAAGTACAATGATGAATTTTATGCAATAAACATATACGTGTGTGTGCACAAGCACGCACGACGCACGCGCAGTGTGCTTGTGTTTTCTCGGAAGGGGGAGACTGCATCTGTGGGTGTGAGGCTGGCTGTGCTTGTGCGCCCACCAGCAGCTGTGCCCTGCAGTTGTGTGGTTCGAATTGCCGGGGGCATTCTCATGGCCCTGGTACTTAGCCACAGTCCCTTGTGACTGGCCAAGGAACGCCGTTCAGTGTGAAGCCAGCACCCTGGGCCCCTCCACCCTGAGATCCCCCAGCACCCAGAGCCAGCCAGATTCTGGACGTCAGCTCCTTTCTTGTCATCGCATGAGCCGCGTGTCACTTGGGTTGTGTCTGGCTGCATGCCACAGAATCCAGGCTTGGCCCAGCGGCTTTTATGGCTCTCAAGTCACAGGAAGTGGGAGGCAGTCCATTCTCCCAGGGCCAGGCAGCGACTCTACAGTGCAGCAGTCCTGGCTCCTGGCTCCTGCACTCTGCTGTCCTCAGGATGTGGCAGTCATCATCTTGGTCTGGGGTGGCTGCCCCACCTCTAGTCTTTCATCGGTACTCCAGGAAGGAAGAAGGCGGGAGTGACAAGGGGGGCTGGGAAAAGGCAGAAAGCTGCATCTCTGGAGTGTGTTCCTTTATCCACAAAACGATGGCTTTTCTGGAAACCCAGAAGCATCTGCTGGGCCTCACCAGCCGGCATGGGGATATGCATCCGCCCTCGCTGCAAGGGCATCAGGGGTCTGCGTATTTCGAACAGGATCTGTTCCCTTTTTGTGAGTTTCCGACAGCTGCTGTAACACATTTTCACAAAGGTAGTGGCTTAACAGCCCCAATGTATTATAGTCCTGGAGGTCAGAAGTCTGCTGTGGGTCTCACTGGGCTGACATCAGGGTGACAGCAGGGCCGTGTGCTTTCAGGAATCTGCAAGGGAGAATCCATTTCCTTGTCTTCTGCTTCTAGAGGCCACTGTGTTTTGTGCCCTGTTGTCTTCAGCAGTGGCCGGTCGCACTCTCTTCCACTGCAGCGCTCTGACGCTGCCACTCCCAGCCACCTCGTCCACATGTCAGAACCCCCTGTGATTGCAGGGGGTTCACTTGAATAAGTCAGGAATTCCCATTTTGATGTGTGCTGATTAGCAACCTTAATTCCGTCTACACCCCTCACTCCCCCTCACCAAGTCTTAGTCCATTTTATTTTGCTGTAGCAGAATACCTGAAGCTGGGTGATATATAAATTAATAATTTATTAAGGAGTTTATTTGGTTCATGATTCTGGTGGCTGAGAAGTCCAAGACTGGGCAGCTGTGTCTGGTGAGGGCCTCACTCTGCTTCCACACACCGCAGAACACGGAGGGGGAGCAGGTGCCTGCAGAGATCACGTGGTGAGAGAGGAAACCAGACCCTTCAACTGTGCCTTCGGGAATGAATCCATTCCCAGGAGGTGCAAGTGACAGTGAGAACTCATCCCCTACACAGGGCATGAGTGTATTCAGGAGGTATCTGACCCCACCCAACATTGCCACGTGGGGTATCAAATGGCGACGTGAGTTTTGGCAAAACAAGCCACATCCAAATAATAGGACCGTGTAACCTAACACGTTCACAGGTTCCAGGGAATGGGATGGGGGTATCTTCAGAGGGCTGCTATCCTGCTGACCTCACTTTGCAAACAGTCTTGGTCCTGATGGCAGAGGAAGCAGTAGATGGTGGTTGTTGGGAAGGCGAGCCCTGAGCTGGAAGAACTGAGCAACAGGAAGTCCTGGTTGATGACGCTTGGGCTGGGATTGTCCTCCCCTGCGAGTGGCCTGTGGGCCTTAGGGTTCAGGTGGGGCCTGGGGCCTCCAAGGTCCTTTCCTCTCACTGGGTGCTTGGAGATTCCCTTCAGGTTGACAGCGCCTGAGGAGTCATCACAGCTTAATCAGCGTGCCCTTTAGTTCCAGCAAGACGGCCCAGGCTGAATAAGCCCATGCGTCTTTATTAATAAGCCCTGCTGGACAACTTCATTAATGAGAGACAGATGGTCTGGAACAACAGCCAGTTGAGTGCACGCGGTGCTGAGCCTGCTTTTGACGTTCCTTGGCCCGAGCATCACTCTAAAAAAGCCACCACCTGCCGGCCAGCTGGCTTTTCGTCTCTGAGCTGGCTGTGGGCTGCACTGCGCCTCCTCGTCTTCTTCCAGCTCCCTACCAGGCCTGTCCCATCAGCAGCTTCTGAAGCCATCAGGATCTGCCACACAGCCTGGCTGGGGCTGCCAGGATTCTGCTGTCTCCCACGGCCAGCAGGCCTCTGCGCAGCTGGTCCTCCTCCAGGCCCTTCCTGCCCACCTCCAGGAATCTTCTCCAGGCTGGAGGTCTCCTTCTCACGCTCTGGCTGCCAAGCCCCACCTTCTCGCCTGGGCGGAATCTCCTCAGGGACGCTGGCGCTGAACCGATCAACTCCAGCTGCAGGTAACCGCCCCGCTGTCCCCATGGTGGCATCTGAGCTCTCGAGGATAAGGCCCAGGTTGGCTCACTCATCTGTTTCCCAAGCAGATGGCCTGAAACCCACACGCCTTAGAAAAGGCATTTTCCTGGCATCACAACACCCCTGTCACCATGGCTGAAGGTGAACAGAAGAGTCCCTTCCCCCGTCTGCAAATGCCAGAAGGCTCATGGGAACAAAACTTCCCTTGAGGCCCCAGCCCCATCCTATACCATGATGGGCTCAGGCCTTCAGAGGGAATGTCACATGTGGATTTGTGGGGGATGGTCGGTCACTAGGTTCAGGCTGGGCTGCTCTCACAGGTTCCCCCAAGTCTGGCTCAAGCAGAAATGTGTTTTGCCTCCTGGCACTGCCCTGAGGTGAATGGGTGGGCCTGGGCGGGTCGGCGGCTTTGTTTTGCAAGCTCGCTCAAGGACCTGCGCTTCCACATGGTTGCTGCCTCCCGAGGTGTGCGTGTCTTGTCCACTTGGAAGATGCTGGCTCGCCACAGTCATGGAGGCGGTGACCTAACATCAACCCTCACCCCCTTGGCCACATCCTTGTCACCCGACTGCACTCAGCTGTATAGGAGGCAGGGAGATGTGCTTCCTAACAGGGTGAAAAATGCCCTCCCTGAACTCTGGTGGTGGGTGGAGAATGCTCCATGAGCAGGAAGGGTGGGGAATGGTGACACAGTCACAGCGCCTCCCACAGGAATGAAGGAAGCTGGCTGCCTCTGTGCCTGACTCCATCTCTCCCGGGCAGCTGCTGCTTCGCTTGAGCTGGGGTGGGGGCTACCTCGCTGGGTCCTGCTGCCCAGCAGCTGGAGAATCGGCTGGGTGGACGTGTATGTGCACGTGTGTGGAGGCGATGCCGCTTGTTCTCGCATCTCTGTATTTTGAAGGGTAGACTGTGAGGTCTGTGCGGCAAACGTGTCGGGTTTTACAACACTTTGGCCTTATGTATGTATGTGAATGTATGTGTATATGTGTGTGAACATACGTGTGTGAATATGAGAGTGTGTGTGTGCCCTTAAAGCTGAGATTGCACCCTGTCAAAACCCGAAAGAGCCAGGCACGGTGGCTCACACCTATAATCTCAGTGCTTTGGGGTGCCGAGGCAGGAGGATTGCTTGAGTTCAGGAGTTTGGGACCAGCCTGGGCAACATAGTGAGACCCTGACTACAAAAACTTAAAAAAAAATTAGCTGGGTGTGGTGGTGTGCACCTGTGGTTCTAACTACTCAGGAGGCTGAGACAGGAGGATCACTTGAGCCTGGGAGGTGAGGCTACAGTGAGCTGTGACTGCACCACTGCACTCCAGCCTGGGTGACAGAGCAAGACCCTGTCTCAAAAAAACCCCCCAAATCCCCAAAGAACAGAGCTGTGAGCAAGCCAGAGTGTAGTTTCTATTCTAGTTCAAATTGAATCCCAAAAGCCCAGTGCCCACTCAGACGGGCAGGCAAGCAGGCAATTTCCTGGTCCTCAAAGAACACTGCCCATCGGCAGCTGCTCACGGCCACTGGACCTCAGCCTGTGCCCTCAGTGGTTTTCAGTTCAGTGACAGCTCTGTGTCCCAATCAAGTGGCTTCTCTTGGGTGTTCTGCAGAGCCAGGCGACCAGGTACTAACTCATGTATCCGACGGATGTATCTGTGCTCGTCCCTGGGCCCAGTGATCACCAGGCAGTTGAGCTCTTCGCACCATAGAGGGTGTGCCTCCTGGAGCGGACAGATGGCCAACGGGAAACAAGAGGAGGTCTGATGGGACAGGATGCGTTTTAGCCACAGTGGTCAGGGGCCTCTCTCAGGTGACACTGAAGCCATAGGCTGGGAGGCCTGACAGTGCCACATGAAGATGGTAGGATGATCAGCCAGCCAGAGGTCTTGAGATGGGAATGAACCAAACTACGGGAACAAGAAAGGCTACTTGGAGAGCACGGGGGTGTGATGGTTAATGCTGAGTGTCAACTTGATTGGATTGAAGGATGCAAAGTACTGATCCTGGGTGTGTCTGTGAGGGTGCTGCCAAAGGAGATTAACATTTGGGTCCGTGGGCTGGGAAAGGCAGATCCACCCTTAATCTGGTGGGCACAATCTAATCAGCTGCCAGGCAGAAAAATGTGAAAAGGAGAGACGGGCCCAGCCTCCCAGTGGACATCTTTCTCCCCTCCTGGATGTTTCCTGCCCTCGAACATCCCCCTCCAAGTTCTTCAATTTTGAGACCCAGACTGGCTCTCCTTGCTTCTCAGCTTGCAGACAGCCTATTGCAGGACCTTGCGATCATGTCAGTGAATACTTAATAATCTCCCCTTTATATCTATCTATCTATCCTCTTAGTTCTGTCTCTCTAGGGGACCCTGACTAATACCAGGGAGAAGAGAGTGGGAGAGGAGGCAGGGTCGCCGTACAGGGCATGGACCACATTCTAAGGGCGCCCAGAGCAGTGACATCATTGGATGGGCATTAGGAAGATCACGCCGAGGGCAGTTCCTTTTGCTGGGCTCAGTAGGGGTGGCAGGGGGATCTGCATTGGCACTGGCTGGCAAAAGCCCAGTGACTCCACGACGTCTGCCCACCAGCTTCTTCCTTCTCTTCTTGCTCTT